ACTGAGTATGTAAGCAGAAACAGAATTAGCATTTTTTTTTTTTTTTTTCTGGTACCAGGAATTGAACTCATGACCTCACACTTGCCAGGCAGGCACTGTGCTGCTGAGCTAAATTCCCAGCCCTGGCTCAGGTGTCTAAGGAGCATCCCTTTAGGCTAATTTAAAGGGATGTGAGTCCTTTGGGGACAGGGTGGTGCATCCTTTGGTGACAGAACCACACATTACTCATCCTCTGGCCCTGAGCAATGTCTGGCATGTGGGGAATTCGGGAAATGGTTGAGCTGAACTGAGGCAAGTTATGCAGCCGGCACTGACTCAGCCTTTATATAGGCACTTGCTGCTTTAAAGAAACAAGGTTGCTGACACCCATACCGAAATCTTTGGTGATGGAACTTTCCGCCTACCAGCTGAAGTTGAAGACTTCTGGGTGGAGACTCGGTGGAGGGAGAGGTCCCTCTTCAGAAAATTAGCCCTGCTGGGACTCAGGCTCAGCTCCTAAACCTTTGTATTTTTTACGGCCTCTTATTTCGGAATCTGCAGAATTGCTAATGCTTCAGTGTGTAGTTAACAGCGGCAAAATAGATTCTAATTTGGAAAAAAATAGGGGGATGGTGGAGCACTTGCCTAGCATGCGCAGGGCTTGGGTTCGATCCCCAATCCCACACGCAAACACACACACACACACACACACACACTGTGGAGATACCTGCATTGAGAGCATTGTAGGTTTCAAAGTAGAAAATAACTTCCCTTAATATCAGCATGGTAATAATGATTGTATAAAAAATATTTACTTGATAGTTTCCTATATTTTGTTCTAAGTCTGTCATATGTTAAACCTTCCTTTTTTTTTTTTAATGAGGCAAAAGTCTTTCTGGTATAAAACTAAAGGTACTGTACCCTTTCCTTTTTTAAAATGAATTTTATTGGAACATTTTATAAATACATAATAACTTTAATCATGTGGTATTAGGTATGTACGTATTATTTTCACTTTATTCTGTTTTTTCTTTTTTCTTTTCTTGAGACAGGGTCCCAGCTCTGGGGTGCTGGGATTATAGGTGTGTGCCACCACATCGCTCACTTTATTCTGATCACATGACAGTTTGTTCCTTCTCCACTTAGCCTGTTACATGAGATAGCACTTCAGTGGCTTGTTTGTCTGGGGATCTCTAAAACCCTTGAACTTATAGAGAATAAGGAATACGGTAGAAAAGACCCTCAGAGCTGCCTGGAGAAACCTCAGGAGGCCACAGTTCTTTTTCAAGTAGTACTACTGGTGAGAGAAGAGTAGTATGGAAGATGTGGGAACCCTGGCAATGGTTCTTTTCCCTTTGTGGTAGTGGGCAGCCTGCTTGAAGATGCAGAAAGGCCAGAACTTTGACAAAAAAGGCCGTGTAGATAAGGCATGTTCATGTTAATACGAGCTCTGTGTATTGTGAGAATTCTAAAATGAGAATTCTATTAAGAATTCTAAAATGTCTACAAGTTTATAAAAGACGAACTATAATTTTGAAGTACAGTATATTTCTTACCTTGAATTTAAGCCCACAGAACTGTTACTATAGAGGAATTAAACACACACACACAATTTTTTTGTTATTATTTTTACAGGAAGGTGTGGAAGCTGAAAAGAAAGCCATCTCTCTTCTTTCTAAATTACGGAATGAATTGCAGACCGATAAGCCCATTGTGCCCCTGGTTGAGGACTGTGCTGATACTGACCTTTGGAATCGGCATCTTGAGTATCAGCGCAGTCTGTTAAGTGAAAGCGATGGACAGCCAAGTTGGTTCCGCTCGCCGTGGTTGTTCGCGGAATGCTACATGTATCGTAGGCTTCATGAAGCAATTATCCAGAGGTAAGTGTTTCAGCGTCAAATAGCAGTGTTGAGATAGTTGATGTTTTTTTGAAATTGTTCACTGATAACTTTGAAAATAAACACACGGAAGCATGAATTCAGCAGCATTCAGCAAATATTAATGACGCTGTTGGATGTTTCCATGAATGATGTCAATTTAATAGCTTCTTGGCAGTTGTAAACCTCGGGCCTACAATAGACATACGGTTGAGTATCTGATAGGAGCTTATTAAAGATCTTATGAAGACTTCTAAAATAAAACAGGTTATACTTACTGAGCAGATGCTAATTTGAAATATATATATATTTAATGTATATATGTAAAATAAAAATGGTACAAAAGAAGCACTTGCTCTGTTTAGAAATAGTATATCAGAATTTATCTGTTTTAAGGGACCATTAGAACAGTGAATTCTGTTGTCTCCCACACTGGCTTCTTGTTTCATTTTGTTTTTAATGGCTAAATTAGAAAAAAGGCTAAAAATTACACATGTATTCCAATCAGTTTTTATAGCTTGTTTATACTAATCTTTCCTAGGAAAATTCTAATATAGAACTGATTTATAATGCAAAAGAAAAGGTAATACAGATTATCTTTTTAGCTTACAGTTTCTAGCAGTATAGGTTTGCTGTGTATCCTTTGAGATGGAATCCTTTTGTATCCATTCCTAAACGTAGCATAGGATCATTTAATTGATTGAAGCATTCATTGTAAAATAAAATCCTTTTGTAAATATATTGGTTTCTTCTGTCTTAATCTTTATGAATTATTTTTAATCACAATTGGTGGGTTTTGCCAAGTAGGAGTGTTTGAGAACTGTTCTAAAGGCAAAACACAGTCTTACAAATCTGATACACAGCAGACCCTCAACAGAAGCTGGGAGTTGCTGTCATTCGTTTAAAACTAGCTTTGTGCCAGTTATTGCACTTAGCCCATTGCAGTGTATATTGGAGGAGCTTCCAGATTGGGGCTGTTAGGAAGACGGTTGCTATAATCATTTAAACACGTTGTTAGTGGACATGTGTGTGTCTTTCTGCTGGGAATAAACCCAGGTATGAATACCTGACTCCTAGGAAATGCACATATACAGCCAGGGTGGATTCTCAAGGAGCAAACACTTTAAGGATGAGAAATTTTATGTATGTATATTTCAAACATAAATACTATATCTATACATTGTGTGTATTTATGTGAGGTTTACTCTTTCAAATACAGTTAAGACTCATTCATAACATGAGGTGTGACTCTAAATTAATGATTGACCTGTTAATAAAACATAAGAATGTGTTATCGAACGTTGTAAACAGGGCCAGATAATAAATATTTTAGAGTTGATGGGCCGTATGGTCTCAGCCGCACAGCTTTGCTGTTGTGGTGTGAAGATACTATAGACATGATGTAAACAAACGACCGTGGCTGCGTTCCAGTAACACTTCACTCACAGGCAGTAAATGTGAATTGCGTGTTTCACAAAATGCTGCTTTTCTTCTGCTTTGTTTTTCACCTCTCAGGCTTATAAAAACCATTCTTAGTTTGTGGGTCCTTAAAAGGGATGTTTGACCTGCTTGGATCTGCGGGCTGCCATTTGCTGACCCTGAATTCGAACCCATGCATCCAAATGGCTTTCGTCCTTTTAAATCACCTTGAGAGAGGGACTGGTTTCAGCAACGCTGTCATTGCTAAAACATACCTTTGAATTCTTTGGCATTTCCTTCAGAGCCTGTTTATAAGCTATGCAAATTGAGTTTCATTATTTTTCAGTCACTCCTCCTTTTTAGCCGAACATGTTTTTATTCCGTTTGATTCCATACTTTATTCAATTGACATTGCTTTGAGGGACTTTTGGCTGTCTCCAAAAGTAAACCATGAAGACAGGTGGCCACTGACACAATGTTCAATAATGTACCACAGGTTCTGTGGAAAATTCCGAAAGAGGATTCCAAAAGTGCCTTAAGTAATGGCAGCATCCTAGGAATAAAGGTGTAGCTTCCCATGGGACTGACTGACCAGGAGGCAGCAGCCGTCATTTGGATGTGTAAAGGCTGGTATGTTTTTAAAAAGAAGCAATTCCGTTACATCAGTCTTACATTGCTTTTCCTGTGGGGGAAAGTAGCTGAGTGAAAACATCACATAATCGGAATTACCTACCCACTATAAAGGCTATTGTATTAGTTAGTATGTACATCTTTTTTGTCACATTCTTCACAGGACATCATGAAGGTGTAGCCATGGCACAAACCCTCACCTTTGGCAAAAATAAATACGAGAGTAAAATTCAACCAAAAATATGATCAGAGTTTGTCATCATAATAACACTTATGAGTATTAAGACGGGTTTATCTCAAGTGCTCATTGTAGTCCCACAGTACTCTGGCTTTGACCTTTGGTGATTAGTACATTGTAGTCTGATGTTCTGTTTACATCCATAGATTTGGTGCTAGGAACTGTGCCACATTGATACTCAAAAAATGTCAAGCTAAAGCAATTATTTTAAAATTTTGTTACTCTTTCTCCTTTTGCCTTGGAATCTCTTCTGAGTCAATAATTATGGACATAAGCAGTAGAATTACTTACTACTTCTAGTAAAATACTTGATTTGGGAAACTTTGACAGTTAATTAAGACGAGCTGGGGATTTGTTTTTGTATAACTTGGTTTTCTGTGCTATGTCTGCTATTTGTTACCACTAATTATTGTGACTCCTGGTGCTGTTTTCTCCTATTAAACTGCAGTTACTCACATATCTATATGTATATAATATAAACATTTTTAAAAAGATACTGACATATAAGTATTTCACTTGTTTTTCTCTTATTTTAGTCCACCAATCAATGACTTTGATGTATTTAAAGAATCCAAAGACCAAAATTTCTTTGAGTCACAGGAATCTGTCATTGCTTTATGCACTCACTTGCAAGAGTTAATAAGAACTATTGAAGACCTAGATGAAAATCAGCTGAAAAATGAGTTTTTTAAACTTCTGCAGGTAAAGATCAGATCACCTGGATGTCTTTTATATTGTTTTGTGAATACTGGTAAATTAGTTATATTTTCTAATTAATAACGTACTGTATTAGTTGTTTGAACTAGGGTTTTTTTTTTGTTGTTTCTTTGTTGTTACCCCCTCTGAACTGCATTTTATGCCTAATTCAAAATACAAAAGAAAGAAAAGCAGCATACCAGCCTATGGCTCCTAGCTAGCCCATTCTTTCAAGAAACAGTCATCTTTGAATATGTTCTTTGTCCCCTGAGTGTATTACATTTTCTGTCACCTAATTTGGTCAGCTACCCCCCACTGTCATTCTGCTGCTGAGTAAAGGAGGCCAAAGTGACTTTCTCTTATTGCCCACGATGAGCAAAAGGCTAAGGTCTTAGGAAAAACCTGAAGGTATTTCAATTTGTGGAGAATGTTGGTCTGTTTTCGAAAGTCATAGCGCTCCATTTCTGTTGACACAAATACTTTGGATCTGTTTGTGTCCAGCAATTTTCTAGATGCTGTGCACGTGGTGATGGGAGAAACAGGCTGATCCTTGCTGTCATAGAACTTGTAATCTTGAAAGAATATAGAAAATCAAACAATTGCACAAGTAACAGTATAACTAAAAACTTAGAGACGATATCAGGAAACGTGCAGGAGGCCAACAGATAACCTGGTCTCGGGGGCTGGGGATTTAGCTCAGCGGCAAAGCGCCTGCCTGGCAAGCGAAACGTCGTGAGTTTGGTTCCGGTACCGGAGAAAAACCAAAAAAAAAAAAAAAAAAAAAAAAAAAGAGAGAACCTGGTCTCAGTTGCTGAATGCCATCATGTCTGCTGTTGTGAGTCTCCAAAAAACTTTGGAAACGTATAGCCGTGGACCCTTTAGGGGTTGCGTAAGCCTTACATTAAAAAAAAAAATCTGTTAATTTATCTTTTAAAAGCATTATTCTTGGTTAGAACATACATTTTCCTCATCTTATGTTTAAATGTAATTTGTTACTTTTTTTTTTTTTTTTGAGACTGGGTCTCTCTGTGTTCCACAGGCTGACCTTGACCTTTGGGCCCCTGCAGTCTTGCCTGAACCTCCCCAGTAGCTGAGACTGCAGGCACCAGGCCTGGCTATTTTCCTTATTTTAAATCATGAATGAAAGTAGAGTCTCTTTTGACTAATATTACTGAATACTTATATAGGCCAAATATTTAATACATTATTTATATGCATTATGTCAGTTCTTATAGTAACTCTGGATAAAATATTAGTATCTTAGTTTTTATTTACGGAACCTGAGCCTTAGTGAACTTAAGTAACTGTCCATTGATCATTCGTTGAAGATACTGGGATTTGAACCCAGGTCTTGATTCTAAAGTTTGTACTCCTAAACATGTAATTTTATTGTTGTTTTGATTTTTGTTTTGTGAGACAGGGTCTCACTGTGTAGTTCAGGTTGGCCTTGAGCTCCCGGAGATCCTCCTGCCTCAGTTCCCAAGTGCTGGGATTACAGGTGTGTGCCATCACACACCAGTAAAATTATAAAATTATAAAATTACCAGCTGTAATTTTATAATTAAAAAAATAGGTCTGATAGTCCTTTTTAAAAACAAAATAACAGTATTATTTCAGCTTAAAGCCAACTAATAATTGATTGCACTGGGTTTATAATTGACATCACCTTGTGTGGAGATATCACTGTGTCTAGCTTCTTTAGTTTACAATCTCAGACAGGTTACCGTGTCTTGAAAGTTTTACAATTAGTGAAAGAAACTGGGCAGTTTGGGGAGGAGGGCGGGAAAGAAAACAGGAAGTGTTTTAGTTCTTGCTTGATTCCTGAGTCAATCTGAGCCTCTCTTCACAGCATCTGATGATGTTTTAATGTCTGTATGATGCAAAGACTTCCCTTCTGAGTCGACAGTATGGGGCTAAAAGCCATCCAATCATTTTTTAAAACATCCATTACATATCGATTAAAACTGTCTCATTTTACCTAATAGTAGAGCATCATGTGAATATATTACATTATTAGAGAAAGTAGACTTGGTGGACACCTTACTTTAATAATGTAACCAGTATTTTAAGCAACCCCTCCCTTCAGTTCCTCCTCCATAGGGGTTTTGTTGGTTATTCAAAAGGATGACTATTTTGTTCTTTTCCTTTTCAGATTTCACTTTGGGGAAATAAATGTGATCTGTCTTTATCAGGTGGAGAAAGTAGTTCTCAGAAGACCGATATAGTGAATTCTGTGGACGACCTAAAACGTTTCATTTTAGTGAATGACATGGAACATCTTTGGTCATTGCTTAGTAAACGCAAGAAAACTAGGAAAGAAGTGTCTAGAGTGTATATTATTCTGGATAATTCTGGGTTTGAACTTGTTACAGATTTAGTATTGGCGGACTTCTTGTTGTCCTCAAAATTGGCTACTGAGATTCATTTTCATGGGAAAACCATCCCATGGTTTGTTTCGGATACCACTGTCCGTGACTTTAACTGGGTAATTACTCAGATGAAGCACTGTAATCATAAGTGGGTGTCCCGGTGTGGGGTCGGCTGGGAGAACTACGTCAGAGTGGGTAGGTGGGTTTACCACGATCATATATTTTGGACTCTGCCTCATGAATACAGCGCAATGCTCCAGGTTGCTCCTGATTTATATGCTGAGCTACAAAAGGCATGTTTAATTTTATTCAAGGGTGACTTGAATTACAGGAAGTTGACAGGGGACAGAAAATGGGACTTTACCGTTCCCTTCCATCAGGCTCTGCGCGGCTTCCATCCCGCCCCCCTGTGCAGCATACGAACATTAAAAGCTGAGATTCAGGTGGGTCTGCAGCCAGGGCAAGGGGAGCAGCTCACAGCCTCGGAGCCTAACTGGCTGACCACTGGGAAGTACGGCATATTTCAGTTTGATGGCCCGCTCCGGTGTGACTTCGGAAACCCCGCTGGCGAGAAGGATCTGGGAAGCACCTTTTTCTCCCCGGAAGAGCAGTGTGTGGATTGAGTCTCTGGACTGCATTGCGTTGGGTCCGGAAAGCTTAGCTTCTCCATGCTCACCTGCATATGCTCTGGGTGGCTTTTCCTCAGAACTGTCTGCCCCACTGCAGTGTTTTGGATATAGACATTGTTTTAGGTTAGTTACAGATGTTTATGCTTATGTTAGAATTTTAGTATCTGTTCCATGTTAAATGCATAATTTCAAGAGGTTTTAACGAACTTTTAATTGGCAAGAAAGCAAAATAGAAGTGAATTTTGCTTTCTAAGTTAGTTGACCCTGTTTTATCTTAAATAGTGCGCTGCATGGTATTTAAATGCTAGGAAGCATGGAGTTTTATTTAACTTGATTTTAGGCTCTTGAAATAATGGCTCAGTGACAAATACGCATTTTAACGCATCTCAAAGACGTGCACTCTTTTTTTGGTGCTGGGAATTGAACTCAGGATCTTGTGCTTATCAGGCGAGCGCTGTGCTACTGAGCTGTATCCCCAGCCCAAGAGCTGCATTCTTAGAAATGTGATGCTTGAACACATAAAAGGAAGACTTACCTCATAAGTTAATTACAACTCTTGTTCTCTATGATTTTATTACAGTGGACTGTTAACTTGCATGTATTTGCATTTTGGTTGGCAGGTAAAAATGTATATTGAGAAACAGAAAATTGAACAGGGTAAAACAAACAGTATTTGAAAAAATTGGCATCTTTTACAGTCTATTATGATATCAGTCAACTGACATTATAATTTTACTACATATGTGTTTTAAATGAACAGATTTTTAGTTTGCAGTTTTAGGAACTGCAAACTAAAAGCAAACGCTTCATATAAGAAAGACTCTTCTGTGTTGGATTTGGATACCACCGTTCTGCTTTTATATCACACGCTGTCCTGGCCATCATCGCAGATACTAGGTACTGGTTTGTTTTGAAACGAAAATTGGAAATCAACCTGGAAATGTTTTCTTGCACTGGAATAATAAAATGTGCTGAAAAGTCTTCATGGCTTTATTTGCTATTGGGGAAAAATTAAGAGGGGAAGATTCAAGATGAGATGTGTATAATGGAAACCTCCTGGTGTGTGTTACAAATATGGCCCAAAGTAGCTATGAAACGATGTGAGTCATAAATGGAGTTACAATCCATGCTTCTACTAAGTGCTTAAATTTTTTTTTGTAGAGTACATAAAGTTGTGCATTTTGAGTTTATTCTTACATATATGTATGTGTGTGTGTGTTTTAAACATTAAGTTTCTAAAATGCTTAGCATTTTAGAACTATTTGTGGACACTTGACATAACTCAGAACAGTTTTATATTTGGATTGATGTAATAGCCACAGTGTGAGCCGTTCTGTATCACATTTTCTAAAGCACTGATGGTTTTTCCTGTGCTTACTGTATAGTTTATTAAATCAGGACATGACATATGGGGAAGTAGTTTACTGTCCAGCCACCCACAAGAAAGAGACCAAAGAAGCAAAGTAGCACAAGAGAGAAAAGTGGCATCTGGAAGAAGTCAGGTGAATGGGACTTTCGTAAACACTTAGCAGAGGGATGGCCCTTATTTTCACCAGTGGAAGGAGCAGGCTTACTGAAGTATAATTCACCCACAGTTCATCCAGGTAGGGTACAGTATTTCAGTATGTTTACAGGGTGTGCACCATTACCACAACCTAATTTCAGAACATTTTGGTCATCCCTAAAAAGAAACTGTACCCATTAGCAGTTGTCTCTCATTTCTCTCTTCTTAACACTTGGAGACTACTAATCCTTTTGTTTCTATGGATTTTCCTGTTCTGTACATTTAATAGAGACAAAATCATAAAATACGTGGCCTTCTGGGGCAGGTATCTTTTGAAGGCTCATCAGATGTAGCATGTTATAATTCCGTCCTTTTTATGGCCAAATAATACTCCATTGTATGGATCTACCACATTTTATTCCTTAATCAGACATTGGTTTCTACTTTTTTGAATAAGGGTGCTGTGAACATTCACAGACAAGTACTGGTGTTTATCGATATACTGTTTCAGTTCTTTCTGGTATATACCTAGGCTTCAAGTTACATCATCTGCTGTTTTGAGCAGCTTGTTTCCCAGAGTGTTTCCACGGCTTTGTATTTCTGCAGCAGTGCAGAAGGGCTCCAGTTTCCCCACATCCTTTTCAGCACTTGTTGATGTTTTTGATTATAGCTCTGCTGTTGTGTGTGAAATGGTATCTCATTATATTGACTTGTATTTCTCTAATGAATAACGACATTGAACATGTTTTAATGAGTGTATTGTCCATTTGTATATCTTTGGAGAGATGTCTTCCATCCCTTTGTCCCCTTAAAAATTATCTTTTTACCATTTAAGATTTAAAAAATACATTCTGAACATTGTCTCTTATCAGATAACATGATTTGTAAATATTCTCCCGTATTCTGTGAGCTGTCTTTACTCTTTACTAAATTGGGGATGGTGAAGACTTCGCAAACCACCATGCGTGTCATTACCGAGAGCAGGTACGGCTGCAGTGTCTGACGTTAGTGTAAGCGGTAAGTGACATCTTGGAATTGCACAAAATGAAAATACCGAAACCAGAGAAAAAGACTAGGAAAACAATAAGAACCTAATAGTGCTACACTCCTATATTGATGTTTTTACTTTTCTAAGTTAGACTGTTATGTACAGACAATTTTTACATTTCTAAGACAAAAAAGCAGATTCGTACCATGTAAGCTTTTTTGATACGTAAGTATTTTTTTCATGCCCTGACATTTTTTGGGGGCGCGGTTTGGTCTTGTCGTCTTGCTTTTGTAGCTTTTTTCTACTTCACTAACAGGTGAGATTTTCTTTTTTCTTGAATAGCGGTACTTCTAAATAGTGGATTTGTAATCACCAGTTGTGTTGGTGTGTGCTTCTAGAGCAAAACGTCTGAGACTGGGTAGTTTAAAAACAAAAATTTGTTTCTTACAGTTTTGGAGGCCGAGTGTCCAAGATTAAGGCTACAATTTATTCAGCATGTGGATGCACCCGAATGACTTTCACTTTATAGGTTGTTTAAAGTTTTTGCTATTATAAAAAAATTGAAATTAACACTTCCAGACAAAATTCACCGATCTCAATATTTGGAACCACCCAATTTTAGACCTTCTAGAATAGTATTTGTGTTTCATTAGCTCCAAATTCTCAGTATTGAGTAGTTGCTTATCATGGGAAGAGTCCCTGGGGGTCTCTCTCTTTTCTCCCTCCCTTGGTCCCTTCTTCCGCCCCCTCCCCCCCCACTGACTTCTAATCCTACTGGAGTTCAATACAAAGTTTAGGCACAAGGGGGAGATCCATTAGCATGGAGTGCTGAGATTTTTCTTGTGTATTATTCTGCACAGAGATTTCAGCAAGAAAAACTGCCGAAGTATAATTTTCAGTGTCAATTACATACATTTTTGTGGTTTCAACTTTAAAACAATTACACTGGAGCTAGACATTTGCGATGGTAAAACATAGTCAGGTCCATGCCAGTAAGATTGTCCACACTGATTTGTTGGCTTAATTGCTATGCATAAGTTTTTTTTTTTTGGTCTTTTTGAGACAGGGTTTCAGTATGCAGTTCAGGCTGGCCTCAAACTCACACAGTGACCCTCCTGCCTCAGCTTCCTGAGTGCTGGGATGACAGGTATGTGCCACCATGTCCAGCTACATGTAATTCTTGAAACAAAATATAGTGATTTGTCATGAAAGTATGTCAGGAATTTGAAAATAAAATTAAATTCAGGAAAAGTAAAGAACAATTTTGTGAACATCACAGAAAATTCACACTGGAAAAAAAACTTTATAAGAAAAATAATTGTTTTCCATTCACTTGATCTTTGTTTGAATATTGCACACAAGAAACCAAGAAGTTCTATAGTTTTCTTCTAAATTTATTAATATAATACAACAAATTAATTTCTGTCACAACTAGGAAGATTTAAACTGAGCATGGTGGTGCTCGCCTGTAATCCCAGCACTCTGGAGACTGAGGCAGAAGGATTGCTACAAAGTTCAAGGCCAGCCTGGACTACAAAGCGAGACCCTATCTCAAAACAACAACAAAAACAAAACAGAAATAAAAAAAGGTTTAAAGGGAACCAATATTCCAATTCAGTCTTATATTTAAGAAGATAAAAGTTGGACGTGGTATGTCTCCCATGCAGGCATTCTGAAACCAGGTTCAGAAGACAGAATTTAGGTAGGATGGTCAGCAAACTTCGGTGGGAACTATTTCATCTTTATTATTGTTATTACCCGCTAATTAAAGTTTAGCACTTCCTTCAATTTTATTAATATTATTTGTTTGCAGTACACAGTGATGACATTCACTCAGGGGACTTGGTGCGTGTGCACAACACATCTTAGTTCTTTTTTTTTTTTTTTTTTTTTTTGCTACCGGGAATCTAAACTCAGGACCTTGCGCTTGCCAGGCAGGCACTTGTGCCACTGAGCTATATCCCCAGCCCCTTAGTTCTCTTTTTGAAAATCCCCTTTCCCCCTCTTCCTTTTCTTCCCCGCTCCCTCCGTCTCTAGGTTACTTCAGTTTTGAGTATGGACCCCAAACTGCAGCAGTGTCACCTAGCGATCACAGATCTTTCCGCATTAAATCACAGTTGCGTTTGCTGTCTTGCAGCACTGTTTCATGGCCGCTCACAGTCGGAATGGTTACACCATTGTTACATTTTCGTGTCTATGACATTTAAATATTTTATTTGGAGGAGTCTGTGACACAAAAACACTTAGTCTTTTTTCTTTTCACCTGTAACTCAATTTTTCTTCTTTCCTTTCACAAAGTTGGTGAAAACTATGACTGGTTTATTTATTTTTTTTTTCTTTTTCAGTCCTGGGGTTTGAACCCAGAGCCTCACACATGCTAAACACCCGCTGAACTAAGGTACACCCCTGCTCCTTCGTTTTGTGTACAGTGTATTTTGTCTTCTTCAAATTGGACTTAATTCTAATGCTGCTTTGTCCAGTTTGGTGCCCTCAAAAGATCCTTAAATAAAAGTTTTCATGCGTGCAGATGGATTGAGTCACCCTTCACTTCCCATCAGGAGTTATTTTTAAATTGAAAAAGATGAAAAAAATTCAGAAAGATTTTCCTATTTAGAAATTATCTTAAAATAGTTTAAAGATTCTAAAATGAGAGCTCTGAAGGAGCTTTTAAAAATATAAGGGAAGGAAAAAAATTTCACAAAATTTCTTTCATGAGTTCGCATGTTTTATGAGAGTTTTTGGCCATCAGTGAATATCACACATGTACATAATCCTTGTAATCAGCACAGGGACATTATGGAGTGCTATGTCCAAAGCATGTGGTAAGTATTTTATTTATAATGTGGCATGATATATTAATGAACCCTAGAGGCAAAGATTTTATCCCATTATGCATATAGGGACACCAAGTGTTGGATTTTAAGTAACTGGCAAAAGTCACTAAGTCAGTTGACAGAGCCAGAAATTAAACTCCAATCTGCTGGAATCAGAACTGCAAAATTATGGCCTTGTAAATTATCATACTTTTAGCATAATTTATAGCCATGAAGTTACTTTTTTAAAGAAATAGGGTCAATAAACTATTGAGGGAAACTTGAGCCCTGATTATTAGATGATAAACCATGAGTCAGTAATATATCAAAGCCTCATTCACATATTTTACAATAAAGATCTAGAAAAGGGAGGTGAGGGTTGTTCTTTACCATTTTTAGCATCCAGATTTTTAGTTCACAGATTTTTATAGCAGCTTGAGCAGCACACTGAGAAGGAAAGTCATGTCTAAGAACTTCAGTGGGGAAGGCTGGACATCAGCAAATCCCCAAAGGTTTGGGATTCCGGGCAGCTGGGAGCCAGTGGGTAATTATTTTGAATGGAAATTATTTTTGGGAACAGATGGAAGGGATTTGATAAAGATGAACTGGCTCACTCTTACAAGCCAAAGGACGATAATAAAAATTGTGTTTTGCTCCCTCAGTGAAATCCAAACTTCTGTTCATAAAAATTATTCCGATTCTGGCTTGTTCTTTGATAACATTACTGGTAAACTGTTTAAAATTAAATGAGGCATAATCTTCCATTATTTATAAAAGTATGCTTTAATTCTGTATTTTTATTCCCTTTTCTCCAGTTCTCTAGTGGAATGTGATTGAAACATTAATAATTGTGATCTAGGGAGATGGAGTCTGAGTTAGGGTTGATAACTTGGGTGAAGATCCCAGGTGCAGCTCTGCCACTACTTATGTCATTTTGTGCTAGTTCCACAATTACGAGGTGCGCAGTCACTTGGCCACTGGGTTTCCTTATATGTAAACGGTGTGGATGATTAACCACCAGCTCTATAATTTTAGGGTATTCATGCCTTCTGCCATGCACCAAAGCAAGGCAATCTTTTTTACTTTTCTTGAATAAAATTTGGCACTTTATCTTTGTGAATAATTCTACTTCCTTCGTCCTACTTTGCTTGTATCATTTTTTTCTCCTTGGAAAACTCTACTTCTATGAAATCATGACTCCTGTTGGGCAGGTCAGAGGTACCTGTTATGTACAACAAAGTATTCTTGGAATCTATTTTGGAAGTTTTAAATGGTTTCTACAAGGACAAATCACAAGGATATAGTTAAATATGTTGGTAGGGGAGAATCAAAGGGTAGAACTTACTTTTGGATAAGAGAATCCATTGAGAATATTCCACGTTGTGGACCGCTGCTGCCATGTTTAGAAACTTCACGGAATGCAGGAAGATTTTATTACATTGACGGGCCTGGCCTAGCAACAAGACTCCTGGAGTAGAGCTTGAACCTCACATTGTTGAGTCACTATACAAAAAGTCATTTTCCCTCCTTTCTGTCTAGAGCAGCTGCCATCTTGTTGGACGTGCGTCCTCCTGTTGGTGTCAGGCCCTTGCCCATGACTGCCAAAGGGCGGGGTGCAGCCGTAGCCAAGGTAAGGCAAGCTTGCTGGATGGCCATGAAAAAGACTTCCTTGCTCTTAAAGATTATGGAAAGAGAGAGCCTGCTTTTTCCTTCTGGAGGTCTTGTGTCCAGTTATGATGCTGTATTCACTCCGTTTTACATGTGAGACACAAACTTGCCAATGACAGCAACTGGCAGTATCTATATCTGAACAAGATCACAGGCCCTCAGCCTATAGTTTATGCCACCAGTTACGTCGACTCCCCAAATCAGAGTCCAATAATAGTACTCCACTGTGCATCTTCATTGGTGTGTACAAGTGTTACAGAATAGTAAGATTTGTTTTGATATATTGGTACATGCATATATTTTGATTTTTCTAGTTGTTGTTTTTTGAAACAGGGTCTCACCATGTAGTCCAGGCTGGCCTCCAACTCACGGCAATCCTCCTGCCTCAGTCTCCCCAGTGCTGGGATCACAGGCGTGTGCCGCCATGCCCGA